TGGGCACGTCACACTCTCTCAGCCTCAGGATGGCAATGACAAACCCTCTTTAAATAAACCTGTCCAGAAAAACCTTGTGATAGAGTCGCCAGAAGTTGGAAATGACTTGAAGGCACACAGCCACAACAACAGCAATGTGGGAGATGAGTATTAGTGTGCTCATTCTCTGAAGTAAACATAATTCACAATTATAAATATATACACACACAAACATTTTTACTGACTTACATCTTCTTTCTGATCTGATCCTTAGTTATCAGCCCTTAGCTTTGAAAGACAATCAACAGGTGTGAACATTTTTAATACAAAATTTTTATTGAATATCAAAACACAAATATACATGACCAATACTTTACAAGACATACGTATACAACCGTACATACCTATACCTACATGCATTATGCCTCCTATACCATCACATTCAGGCTTATTTTAATTATTATTACTTCTCCCTCTTCCTTTACTTAAAGTTCTTTCTTTTTTACCATTGCAAAGACCTTCATATATACCTCCATCACTTCCCCCTTCCTTTCTCCATTGATATATTCTTCACTTTCCCTTCCATCAGCGTCTATCTCCTTTCCCTTATCTTCCCCTATAACTTTCTCAGTGGGGGGGGGATCTTATGGACTAGAAACATGGCAAGTTTTATTAGTTTGTAAGACTTAGCGTGTTGGGTAAGAAGATTTGCTTTGCTGGTTTGCGCTCACTCAGATCTGGCCTCCTTTAGTGGTACAATTTCTTGGATGATGATGATGATGATGATGATGATGATGATGGATTAAAGTTGTTCAGATGCTGATTTATCCTCTGTTTTAAAAATAATTATTTTTAAAATAATTATTCAGGGAAGCAGATTGCATGGAGGTCATATTGTCCTGTCAACGTGTCAAAGCTTTTCAGAGTTTGAACAGGAGTTTGACAACTGGGTTCTTGCAGGGTTTTCCAACAGGGTAATCTCTAGTGCAAGTAATTTCTAGTGCAAGTAATGTCTAGTGAAGAATGAGCTGCTGTTGGGTGCCTTCAAGTCCTTTCCGACTTACGACAA